GCCATGGCTGAGCCAGCTCTGAAACCACGACCTGCCCTGACGCTGGTCGGAGGCTCCGGCCCTCTCCAAGGGATCTGCGGAGCTGCGAGCGGCCTGGATGGGCAGAAGTCTCGGCCAAAGCAGCTTAACGTCACCTCTTGTTATGTCGGAGGCATTGCTCGGTGGCGCGTGACAACGTCAAAGCCTGCGTGCACACAGGCTGCGAACCTGCGTTCAGAGCTCTGTCAGCCCGGAGGCTGCTCTGCAAGGGGGACGTGACCGCCACCATGCTTGTCCCTTGGGTGGCTTGGGCTCCTCCGGGTCCCCAACCTCCTGGAGCCTCCCTGATGTGGGAGCCCACCAGGAGCTGCCCAGTGCCGGGGAAGCCAGGGGGAGAGGAGGCACTTGGATATGGGCAGAGGATGGAGAGCGCAGCAGAGAGCAGGAAGGAGGGGAGGCCGTGTTTTGAGCAACGATCCTGCGCTCTTCTGAAAGCTACTGAGCTAGCGAGGCACTGGCGCTGCTGTTTGAGCAGTCTGCAAGCCCATGTGTTAGGTGTTTCTATGCCCGGCACCCCAGGAGCTGCTGCCTGCATGCCAGACACCCGCATGGCTGGCGCTCCGGGGAGCTGTCGCCGTGCGAGCGACCCCAGCGGCAGGGCTGCGGCGTCCCCCCGCTCTCCGCGTCCTCGGGGCCGAGTGATGCTGCAGCTCTGCTCGCTCTCGGGGAGCTGTGAAGCAGGCAGGCTTGGTGCATGCACGATTCGCTTCTGCCCAAAACAGACGCCACACGAGCTGCTCCTTAAAATCCACTGGCTCCAGGGGAGCTCTGCACTGATGCAGGGAGCCGAGGGGCCAAACGCACGGACACAGCCCGGCCCCATGCCGGGGGCTGCCCCGAGTGGTTCAAAGGCAGGGGGGCTTGCATTTGTCACTTAAGGAGCTCGGCCCCGCTGAAACCGAGACCTTCCCAGAGCCTTAATCCCATCCCCGATGCCCACCAGGCTCCATCCACAGGTGGGGAACCGAGAGGAGGTTTGTCAGAAGCTCATTAAGAGCATTGCTAGTTCCTGAGGGAAGGATCTCCCGGCTTCAGGGCAGGCTGGACAGTGGATCCCAGGGCTAAACCTCAAAGGATCCAAATCCTTCGCTATTGATCCCCCTTGTGCTCCTGCTGCTTATGGGAGAACAGGCTGTGGAGGCATTAATGACTGAAGG